TTACAAGATAAAAATCATCTCTCTTTTCACATAGTTATACTACTTCATTTATTTTCTGACGCTACAGATTGGGAACTATATGATTGTTTTTCTGTTTTATTATACCAGTTTCTGCGTTTATTTAGGCTAATTAATTCATCGTTATGCCTACAAGTTTCCAAAAATTATTTTTTTCAAAAATATAATTTGTCAAATTATTTGTTTTATTAAATTTTTTAATTACACCGCCTTAAATTTAAAAAACTTTTTGATTTTGCTCTTCCTTAAGGAATTCATATTTATATAACAGTTACAAATTAAAAAAAAATTTTTTTTATACCAATATTAGCTTTAATATTATTAGGTTTAAAGTATTTTTTGTATCATTATGTTGGAGCGATTCGAACACTCAATAGTAAATACCAAAAATTTATGACTTGCCTATTAGTCGACAACATATAAACGTAATACTTTAGTTTTCTAGCAGAAAAAAATTTATGAGTTGCCTATTAGTCCACAATAGAAATCATACATTAGTTTTCTATATATACTATTTCTTTTCAGTTTTTTATTTGAAGATTATATACTTGTCTACTATCTATTTTTAATGCGTTTTTTCCTAATTCAAATACAAACCCTAGGGTTAATATAAAGAAAAAAATTAACATAATAATTAAACCGTAAACACCATTAGTATAAGCACTTACTATATAAGGATATACCAATAATATCTCTAAGTCAAATAATAAAAATAAAAGAGCAAATATAAAAAAAGAAATACTAAATTGACTTCTATTTTGTCCTAAAAAAGAATGAAAGCCACATTCAAATGCACTGTTTTTTTCCTGGTAGGGGTTATGCGGTGATAATAAAATATTTATACCTAATAATATTAAAGCTAATATTGGTATAAATATAAAAAAAAATGTTAAGCTTGTCACTGTATATTTATATATTAAAGATGTGTAGTAAAAACGAGATGTAACTGATGAAGGTACTAATGTAGATATTTACATTAAAAATGAACTTGGTACTTAAATATGTTCTAAAATGAACTTGGCACTTAAATATGTTCTAAAATGAACTGGCTACTTAAATATGTTCTAAAATGAAATTTGAACTTAAATATGTTCTAAAATGAACTGGCTACTTAAATATGTTCTAAAATGAACTTGTTTTTTAAAGCAAATTATCAAAAATAATATTTTTTATTAATTTTTATATTACATTTGTTTCCTTTCTTTACCTAACTCAGAATCTGTTAAATCTATTAAACTATTTTCTAATAAAGTTATAAAAGGAATTATTAAAATAAAATGTGCAAAATATAAAGCAGTAGAAATTTGTCCAAATTCTATATAAGGAGACTCAACGTGTTTTGCCCCTAATTGCAATAATATTAAGAAATTAGCTATAAATATAAAGAATGCTATTTTACTTAAAGGTCTAAATTGTATACCTCTTAGTTTAGATAAATCTGAAAAAGGTAGAACTAATAAAGCCAATAAAGCAGAAAACATAGCAATAACACCTAATAATTTATTAGGTATAGATCTTAATATAGCATAGAAAGGTAAAAGATATCACTCCGGAACAATAGCTGGTGGTGTTTGCATAGGATTAGCCACAACATAATTTTCACTGTCACCTAAAACATTAGGCATGAAAAATACAAATGTAGATAGTACAAATATAAATAAGAATATTGTAATTAAATCTTTAAATAAAAAGTAAGGAGCCATTGGTAATCTATCATAATTACCAGAAACACCTAAAGGGTTACTTGACCCACTAGAATCGTGTAAAGCAATCAAATGCATTAAAGCTAATGCAGCTAAAACAAATGGTAATACAAAGTGTAGTGCAAAAAATCTATTTAATGTTGCATTATTTACAGAAAAACCTCCTCAAAGGAACTCAACTATATCTTGACCTATTCAAGGTATTGCACTCATTAAATTAGTTATAACAGTTGCACCTCATAAAGACATTTGACCGTAGGGTAAAACATAACCCAAGAAAGCTGTAACTATCATTAGTATAAATAATACTGTTCCTATAGTTCACACCAATGTTCTTGGTGCTTTATAGGATCCATAGTATAATCCTCTACCTATATGTAGATAAACTAAAAAGAAAAAGAATGATGCTGTATTTGAGTGTAAATAACGTATTAATCACCCATTGTTTACATCTCTCATTATGTGTTCTACTGAATCAAATGCTTCTGAAACACTAGGTGTATAATGCATACCTAATGTTACACCTGTAACTATTTGTATTATTAAACAGAAGGCTAATAACGATCCAAAATTTCACAGGTAGCTTATATTAGATGGTTGTGGTGAATCTATTACATATGAATTCACCATTTTTAGTAGAGGATGACTTTTTAATATTCTCATTATTTTTTTTTTATAATTTAGTTTAATTTATTCTAATGTGTATATATTTAATAATCTATGATTCCTTTGTGACTTGAACACAAATGATATTTTTATCAAAAATACGCTTTACCTATTAAGCTAAGGAATCTCTATTTATGTAGTAATTTTCTACATAAATATAAAAAATTAATTTTTATTAAATTAATAATAAAAATTAATAAAAAAGGCAAGTATATTTATTGATTGTTATTTGCAATACTAGCTTGTACTGCTCGAAGATCTTCTAAAATTAACAATTTTTTTGATTTACTATCTACATCTAAACTTGCATGCACGGAATTTCCATGTTTCATGGAATTCCTATTATATAACCCCTGAGTTTTGACATTTAATCCCGTCTGGTGATTACTTAGACTTAGAATATATTTAATTTCTGCAACATCAGATATAGTAAGATAATAAGTATAGCTTACTTTTGATACAAGCTCTGCAATCAAAGGCTGTAATTTTGAAAGCTTTTGATTATCAGGAATATGTCTACAATGTATATCTAATCTAGCATAAGCTAGATTAAGTGCATCATTAAAGTTTTGGCGTTTATGACCAACTTCTATCGCAACCATATGTCTATTGTCTCTCATATAAGAGTTAGTTGCACCTACAAGTGCATCCTCAGGATTAGTAAATAGACTTGTAACAGGTCTTTTTTCAAAAAAATTATCGGCTCTAACTCCAACTGAAGTTGTTGAATCTAAAATTGGAGCTAAGTAAATAGGATTATTACCTATATTAGCTATAGGTGGAATACTACTAGTATTACTAACCTGAGCAATATTAGCTATAGATGGAATACGACTAGTATTACTAACCTGGGGATTATTACCTGATGTAACATTACCTAAAAGTCTAGGATCTATAACAGCTAAAAGTCTGGGATCTATATTAGCATGTACGCTAGAACTTACCCCTGAATTTTCTCCAACTGCTCCTGAAGCCTGTGCACTAGTGAAAGGACTAATTGTAACAGGTCTATCTTGAATATTCCCACTAGAATCTGTATTAGCCGTTTCTAGTGATTGAATATTATCATCACTAATAACACTTGATGCAGGTGTGTTATCACTAACACGAGTAAATATAAAATTTGCTGGAGGTATGGGAGTATCGTAAACACTAAGAAAACGTGCTCTACTTCTAGTAATAGGTTTATTTTTATTACTTCTAGTAACACTTGAACCTGTTTGAGTAGCTAAATCTGTATTACTTCTAGTAATACGTCTATTTTGACTACTTGTAATAGGATCTGAATTTATTAGGGTAGCTAAATCTGTAGTACTTGTAGTAATACGTCTACGTTTATTACTTGCAATAGCATCTGAACCTGTTTGAGTAGGTAAATCTGCAGTACTTGTAGTAATACGTTTACGTTTATTATTTGTACTTTCAGGTAAAGTTGACTCATTTGCAACTACCCCTGAACTTACGGCTAAATCTCCTCCAACTATACCAGAACCTGTTTGGGAATTTCCTGTCACTTCACCTGAATTATTTGTATCAGGTAAACGACGATTAATAGCAACTCATGTATTAGTAGGTCTATTATTACCTACCTCTTGATTTTCTACACCTACTCCTGAAGCCTCTGGAGAATTTCCACCTGAACCATAAAGATCACTACCTTCACTTCCTGCCGGACTACTTGGACGAGTAGCGGTTGGGCGTGATGGTTCACCTTCCGATGTTCTAAAATTAATATTATCTGGTTTAGCCAAGGCTTTTTTTATAGGTTCGGGTGAACCACCTAAAGTGTGTAAAGATTTATTTTCTATTAATTCATTAAAAAAATTTTTTAATGAATTAATATTGAATTTTTTTAATATATTAATATATTCATTTAATCTATTAAATATATTATTTATTTCAATTAAAAACAAATTAGCGAAAGTTAGAAATACTAAATATTCTGATTTAAAATAATAAAGCAAGACTCCTATAATAAATGGCATAATACAATAAAAAATTAAACCCTTTTCAGATAATTTATTATATATTATTGATATATTTATCATAGCGATAAATAGACCTTTAAGCACAGACTGAATAAAGCTAGATATAGTATCTAGTTCTACACCTTTTAATAAAAAGTATCAAAGTAAACTAAAAATTGAAATAAGAATTATTTTTTCTTTATTAAAGTTTTTAATAAAGTTTTTAATGTATGATATAATTTTGTTATTTTTCATAAAAATTTTATAAAGTTTATATATAAATATTGTTTAAGATTTTCATATTTATACCAGTATTAGCTTTAATATTATTAGGTATAAATATTTTATTATCACCGCATAACCCCTACCAAGAGAAATAAGTGCCTTAGAACTCAATTTTTTATATTTTTTATTTATCATCAATGATAAAGGGGGCTTTAAACCCTTTATAGGCAGTGAGACTTGAACCCACACAGCATTAACTATTCCATCCTAAGTGAAATCTGTCTACCAATTCCAGCATGCCTATGGATTGCTCGACATAAGCTTTGATCTTATATCCTAAACATCTTCAGTGTTCCGCTCAACCAATTGAGCTTCTCGAGCCCTAAAAATTTAGATTTAAAGTTACTTTTAAAAGTAACTTTGGAGATATTAGGAATCGGACCTAAGATTACGAATTGCAAACTCGTTGTTTTACCAATTAAACTATATCCCCTTTGATAGCATAAGGCCAGAATGGGTCGATCACTCATCTTAACTGTCATGAGCAGTTGGCTTTACCATTAAGCTATAGCCTTAAAACAATTATTGTTACTATATACTAAAGTAAATATATAGAAATAAACCAAAGTAAATAATACAGAACAAAGAAGGAATTGATCCTTCGCTTAATGATCTGCAATCATAATGTAACACCTCTTACAATTTGTTCCTACTTAACATATATTAATGCCATAATCTTATCCGAAAAACGGCTTGAACGTTTATGATTAAAATCAACGAAGCTTAAGTTCGTCCTGTCTACCAATTCCAGCACTCGGATAGTTTTTACGCCTTTAAGGTGATTTGAACACCTAGCCGATATATTAACAGTATATTGCTCTACCAATTGAGCTATAAAAGCTAAAAAAATGACTTACGCAAGTTAGTGCTAGGGAGGATACCCTGGCTTGAACAAGGATATACTATGCCACAAATAGTTGTTTTACCTTTAAACTATATCCACCTATATTTTTATAGGTATAAAATATAAAAAAATTAGGTCAAAAATATTTAGTTTAAATGATATATAATCTAAAAAAAATGTAATGACAAAAAACAATGAGAAATAAGTGACTTGAACACTTAACTGTTCGCGTGTAAAGCGACTGCTCTACCAATTGAACTAATTTCTCAGTTTTCTTGTAAGTAGTGCGGATTGAAGATTCGCACTCCAATCTTTTGATTATGAGTCAAAAATGTTAACTATTACACTAACCCGCGTATAACCCAGGAGAGATTTGAACTCTCGTTTTAACAGCGAAAAGGTTATGTCTTGACCGTCTTGACCACTGGGTCTTATAGATATATAGCTTAGGCTATAAGCCCAATGCAAGTATTGCACTTACTTCCACCGATTACAAAACGGTAACATTACTTTTATGCTAATTAGGCCTTATTTTTTTTTTGTAACTTAATTATTAAGTTTTTTAATTAGAATTAGTACTTTATGCCTCAAGACCTCCTGATCCGTACAACTAAAGCCTATATTACAAAAAAATTTGTATTTGTAATGTTCTATTACATTTAAAAAAAGTATAATAAAGTAAGTTTCGCGCTTATAGGCTTTCAGCGCTTCTCTTTAATTGACGTGGCTTTCTTGCCGTGCCTATTAAATTTAAACCTATTTACATTTAAATAGTATTTTAATAAACAACATGTAAACTATTGGTCAACATACCCAATTCCTCTCGTACAAAGGGGCTATCCTTATTTTACTCAAATTTCCTCTAGA